TGGCCTTTCAGTTTTATTACAAATAGGATTTAGCATGCTCTTTCTCTTTATACTTTTGAACTCACGCGATGAGCTATTCTCAAATCTTAGTAATCTGTTAAAAACTTTGCTTCATCAGCTTAATTAGCAATAAGATCGACACTTTTTATTTAATAACTTCTGTAGTAAAGGATGAGCCTTATGTTATTTTTGAATTAGTAAAGTAACTTTCAAAGTCAGATAATTTATTTAATTCATGCAACATAATAATAACACAGTTCAAGTTCTTTGCCCATTGTATTAATCTGTAATTTTTAAATTAGAAGACGATGATGACTCTAAAAGATATTATTTTTTTTCAAAGGTCAAGAGGTAAACTTAGTGTTTATCTCCAAAACCCTTGCATCTCACACGGTCAACTCTGTTAAATGTTAAAAAACCAGATCGTTTGATTGTTTGCAAGTTGTTAAACATTTATTACAAGGTATGTCATTAAACAAATATTATAAAAATAAGGTTGTATTTGTAAAGTTTCTAATTTATATATATTTCTTAATTTATTTATTTATTATATGGGTTTATATTTTGTAAGTGTGTAAATATCTTTTATATATGAGCGTTTCTATGTTTGTGATGTTATTTGTTTATAGTTAGTAAGTGGTTATTATGTTGTTTGCATAGTTTCAAATGGTTGTGACTTGACTTAGTTTACAGCAAGATTGTTTACCTTGCTAGCCAAATGGTGTACTTTGCTATAACTGGTTACTTGGCTTTGTTGAGAGCAAAAATTTTGTGCTTGCCAGTAGAGTGGTGTATTGTCACGATGAAACACATAAATTAAATCTGTTTGTAATTAATGTATCCCTAAAATGTGTTGCAAAAATATTGTTGAAAAAATGTGTTTAAATATTGTTATGCTCTGCTCTTTAATGTTAACAGTTTATGCTTTTGAAGATAAATAAATTTTGTTAAAAAACAGGCCTTCTTTTTACTAATAGCTCCTCCCCATTAAAACATTTAAGAGTTTTGATTTCTTCATTAAATGTTTAACTTAGTTTTTTTATATATATATATAAAGGTAAGTGAACAACATGTTAAAACATAAGTTTTAGTAAGTTTCATTAAATATTTAGGATTTTTCATATAAATAATGTTTTCATTGTGTTATTATTTTAATGTTTTTCCTATTTTGGATTTATAGAGTTGAGAGAGGGTTATATCCAAAATTAAGTAATGTCCTCATCTGTAGTGGCCTCACAGCCTTGAGGAGGTGAATTTACATATATATATATATATATATATATATATATATATATATATATATATATATATATATATATATATATATATATATATATATATATATATATATATATATATATATATATCAGGGCTATTCTAGATCGTTTTCTACAGCGTCTACCATGTTTGGGCGCCGCCCAAATAAAATTTGAGGATCTCTTTTTTTTTTTATGCTTTTACCGCAAATATTATATATATATATATATATATATATATATATATATATATATATATATATATATATATATATAAATTATGTTAGTGTATTCTACAAATAGTGCTTAATTGATTTAACTTTATTACATTTTAAATTTTCTTTTATTTTAATCTAGCTGCTGCTTCTTCTGGTACAAGTAAGTTGTTGTATTCACTTATACTTAACTTATTACATTGAATGATTGATTTTAGTAGCTCAAGAGTTAAATTTATATATATATATATATATGTGTGTGTGTGTGTGTGTGTGTGTGTGTGTGTGTGTGTGTGTGTGTGTGTGTGTGTTTATACACACAATAACATAGAAATGTGTGTATATATATATATATATATATATATATATATATATATATATATATATATATATATATATATATATATATATATATATATATATATATACACAATAACATAGAAATGTGTGTATGTGTTTTGAAAAAATTGAAAAAAAAATTTGACAAATAGTTTTTTTTTTAAATTTAGGGAAAAAAATAACCAACTTTTCTACTATGAAGGAACATGGAGGACAATCTTTTGACAAATCTTTAACTGAATGATCTTTAATGCTTTCTTCCTAAATTTCATAATATGCACAAATATCAAGCAAAACTAATAAATCTATTTCAAGTTATAAAATCTTTCAAAATATAAAAAGATTTAAAAACATAAATGATTTAAAATTAAAACTTAGTAATAAAAATTGAAAAATAAAAAAAATAATTAATGAGCTTGATTTAAATAAAGCATGTTTAATTGTAACCTTAGTATTTCCATTTATAACTCTATCATGGCACACAAATTGACAGCTGTGTAAACATGGCAGCATTTTACCACATATTTCTGTGCATTGTAAACATTCGCCAAAATGACATGAATGAATCTATAAATTTTTTTATAATATAACCAAAAAATAAAAATAAAAACTTTAAATTAAATAATTGCACAGTTTTCAAAATAAAAACTTTTTGGCATTGAAGAATTGATAACTACAAATCTGATAGACAAATCAAATGACAAAATCAAATGAAGGTTGAAAAGAGAGAAACAACAAGTATAGAGATTTAAAAAGATTATTATTATTAAAACGATTGCAAAACAGCATTAATAAAATATTATTAAGAGATATAATTGAATCAAGGAGCATATAAGACATTAAAAGCAAGTGTTAAGTGTCTGATTCAGATAACTCCACTTTTAGCATCTAGAGGTTCATCATAAAAGATTAAATGAAAACTATACACATGACCAAAGTGTTATGATCTATGGAATAAGTTAAAAAGATATTTACACAATGTTTACAAAAAAAGAAACAAGAACCTAATCAGGTAGATTTGTCAAAGTATTTTAGGTAAAGGTTGGGAACAGGTATTTAATAGGATACACCAGAGAAAATTTAGGCAGTTTAATATATGTTTAAATCTACATTACTAAGAAACTATAAATATTCACAATACAACAATCATGCTAAAAAAATAACAATACGAACAACAGTAACAACTACAATGAGAAAAAATTAGAATTGTTATAATAATATTTTTTTTACAAAAATGTTTAAAATAAAATATTACATAATAAAAATATATTAGTTTTATAACCTACTTTTTTTTCATGATGACATGTTGAAGGAATCCTAAAATTTAAAATTATAACAACTAAAAATAATTTTGCTGTTAATAATAAAAAATTGATAAAATGATCTTAGACTTACCACTTATTAGATGTGTAATTTAGTAATGGATGTGTTACTTATAAAATGCTTGATTTAAATTATTTTTTTTAATTATAATATTTCTATTAATATTATTATTGAAAATGTAACAATAAAAACTCCATATTTTCGTAAACTTTTTCAGTTTTAATTTTTATTATTTTAATGTTAAGTTTTCAGACTGTCTAGTCTAGTTTACTTAGGCCAGTAAAAAGTCTCGAACTTTATCTATAAAGCAACAAGACAGAAAATAACTAAATATTTACCTTAAACTTTTCATTTAACTATAAACATTTATGTTAACGTTAATGTTGGAATTTTTTGCAAGTGTATTTAAAAAGTTTTTGTAATTTTAGCAAGTACCTTTAAAAAAAGAATTTTAAAACAGGAAAAAATTAATATTGATCATATTAAAATCCATGCTCAAAATTTACAAACTAATAAATTAGTTTAGTGATTAAACACCAAGTGCCAAGTGGACTGATATGCCAAGTGGACTGATATATTTAGAGAATCTTAAAAATTAATCATTTTACAACTGTTGAAAATATTCCCAACTAACACAAAACATTCAAGAAAATTTGATGAACATTGCGAACATTCGAGCTTGTTCTATTATATAATATAATATAAACATTCGTTAACGATTTTGAATGTTATGTGTTTGATGGGTTCACGATTCTCTTTTAAAAAATAACAAATAAACTAGCATCTTGTTGAATACCCTACAATTTAACCAATTAAAATCGAAAAAATATAATTGAGCTGTGTAAGAAAAATTTAAGCATACTCAGAAACAATCCACAAAACACTATTTTATTACATGAGATAAGTGGTGCTTTAATTAGAGACAAGTTCGACTTAAGTCAGCTAACTTGGTTAGTAAAGGTGAATATTTCAAGAACTGCAGTAAGGTGCGACATGTTTAAGCCAAAAAAATATGTTCTAGATTTTCTTCAAAACAATACCTTTCATTGGAAACTGTTTGAAACTTACTTTACAAAAAAAATAAGCAAAAACCTATAACTTACAAAACTCAAAATTTCCTAATTGTTAATTTCTAATTTCTTAATTTCCTAATTAGTCAACTCCATGTTAGTCAAATTGTCACAAATAAGATGAAGAATCTGAAGCATTGCTCAAAGAAGATTCGTGCCAAACGCAAGAAGAACTTGCAAAATCATTGGGAGTCACTCGAGCAGCCATTTCAAAATGTTTAAAAGCATTGGGATTCATCCAAAAGCTTGAAAATTGGGTGCTACACGTATTGAAGCTGAGAGATGTTGAAAGGCAATTTTGCATGTCGCAAATACTGCTTGAATGCCATCAAAGGAAGTCGTTTTTGCATCAGATTGTTACTGGTGATGAAAAATGGATTCATTGCAATAATTTTAAGCACAAGAAATTGTATGTGAAGCCTGGCCAGCCATCAACATCAACAATGAAACCAAATATTCATGGTGCAAAGGTAATGCTCTGTATTTTTTGGGATCAGAAGGGAGTGCTCTATCATGAGCTGTAGAAATCGAGCCACACAACTACAGAACTTTTTTGTGTGTGCAGAAAATATTAAATTATATAAAGTCAGAACTTTTTTTTGTGTGCAGAAAAAACAAATAAATAGCAATGCAATTTCAATAATTCAATAATTTTGATCATTAAAATCACAAGGTGCATGTTACTATGGTACATATATTGTGCTACTTTGATACTACAGTCAACTCTCCTATAACGCGATGAATTCGTACCGCTTTGTATGGGAACCGTGTTATAAGAACTCAATTTGGCAGATGCATTTTTTGAAGACCACGTTATGAGGAACACACAAATTATCAAAATATATATTTTTTAATATATAACATTAATCGCGTTATATGGAAATCTCTGTCGTGTTATATAGAAACCGCGTTATAAGAAACATAGAAGTAATATAAATTGAATCGATTTGTACCACGTTGTATAGAATCCTAGAAATAAATAAATTTTTTTTGTTTTTTTTAGGAATAAATAAATTATGCACAAATAAATTTACTTTAGTCTAATTTTATTGTATATGGTAAGTTATTTAAATTAGAAATTAAAAACTGAACTTAAAAAAAAATTGTTTCCAACAAAAAACTAAAATGATGCATTGTAAATTCTGTTCTTATTCGTCATCGCTGTCAAATATTAGATGTCCAATCCGTCTTCTTTTCTTTCCTCTAATTAGTTGATAATCCTCTTCACTTTGAAAATTTTCTCCTTGGTTTTCAAAAGTAGTTTTATTTTGTAGTTCTTTCAAAACCTCTTTGTATGGAGCTAAGCAATTTTGAAATTCTCTTTTAAATTTTTCACTGCGTATTGTTGAAGGATCATTTTGGGTCAACTGGAATTCTAATTCTTTAGCCAAATCGAACCCTTTTTTTAAATCATAAGTGAAGTTTAAAGCAGATTTGTTATTAGTGCCTTCTTCCACAAATGTTTCAGATGTAGACTCATCAATTAACTCTGCTAATTCTTCTTCATTTAAACTTCGTTCTTGATGTAGTTGTTCTATATCTTGCACTTGTATATCTGCAAATCCTTCCTTGCCAAAACTAGAAACAATCCGTGTTATTTCTTTTACTGCCTCTGAGATATTATCTTCTTTTTTAACTATTTGAGGTAACAAAGGCCTCCAACATGCATTAAGTGTTGATTGTTTAATTTCTGTACAAGCTAATGAAACAATTCGAGTGCAGTCTAAAATAGAAAATTCTTTCCAAACTTCAAGTAGAGTTTTCCATTTTTGATCTTCTAATCTGCTGAAAATAACTTCAAAAAAAATTTGTATGTAATACAACATTTTGAAAGTTTGGATGATTCCTTGGTCTAAGGGTTGTATTAATGAAGTGCAATTGGGAGGAAAATAAAGAACTTTCACATTTGGGTGATTTATCTCTGCACTATGACTACTGGCGTTATCAAGGATTAACAAAACTTTGAAACTAAGATTTTTTTCAACCATAAAGCTTTCTACTTGAGGGACAAAACAGTTATAAAACCAATCCTTAAATAAATCATCCACGCTTTTTTATTCGCTCGCCAAAATACAGGTAACTCAGACATACTAACATTTTTAAAAGCTTGAGGATTTAAAAAATTATTTATGATCATTGGTTTTATCAATAAACTTCCTGATAAATTGCTACATATGTGTATGGTTATACGTTGTTTAGAAGATTTAAACCCAGATGATTTCTTTTCATTTATTGAAATGTAGGTTCGAGATGGAAGTTTCTTCCAATACAATCCTGTCTCGTCCGCATTAAAAATCTGATCTGCTACATATCCCTCTTTATCGATAATTTCTGGGAGGTCCGTTTTAAATTTTTCGGCTGCTATGACATCGGCTGAAGCCTGCTCTCCTTGAAATTTAATATTGTGCAAGGAATACCTTTTTTTTAGCTTGTCAAGCCATCCTGCACTTGCAGTAAATGAGTGATTGTGTTGCTGGAGAGAAAAGTTGTTTATTCCTTTAAAATGCTCATAAATTTTAAGTGCTTTACGCTTAATAAGATTTCCACACACAGGTATCTTTTTGGAGACACAGTCTTATAACCATATCATTAATGCTTGTTCCATTTTTATCATAATAGCATTACGTATACGAGTTGCACGCTTCGCACCTGATGGGCAACTATTTGCGACAGTTTTTCTTATTTTTTCTTCATTTTTCTTTAAAGTCCGTATGTAGATTCATTCAAATTTAACGATTTTGCAACAGAAAACACTTTCTCTCCATTCTTTAATCGATCTAAAATTGCAGTTTTCTCCATAAAAGTTATAGATTTTCTTTTCATATATTTTCTCCCTTTGATTATTTCAGTCATTTTACTAACCTATAAAATTTTTTTTTTTAACCTGAATACTGTAGAAAATAAAATATTTTACCAGTGTATTTATATAATCTCTAGTAACTTAATTTTAATAAGACAAAACAATTTATTACAAATTCTAAGACAAAACAATTTATTATAAATTCTGTCACTTAACACATTTAAGCACAAACCAAATTAAAAGGAATAGTTTTTTAATTGTTTAATACGTAATTCAAATTAAGAAAAAGGGAAATACCCTTTAAATGCATACAGGCAAAACGTCAAATAAGTATTGTCATAGGTTTTTTTCAAGTCATTTGATTTGTTGTCAGTTGTTGTTTTTTTTCGCATAAATAACGTGTTAGAAAGTTCTTACGAAAATCGCGTTATATGGAGATCATATCGCGTTATAGGTGAGCGGTTCCAACTTTCACTCCGCGCTGTATGGAGATTCGCGTTGTAGAAATACAGTGTAATAGGAGAGTTGACTGTATTACAGAATGTCAACAATCAGTTACTAGAAATTTATTTTATTAACATATTAAGTCAATGACTTAAACAGAGAAAACATTTTTTTAATTGATTTAAATGTGAATTTTGCTAAATAAAAATATTTGAATAGTTTTTTTGAGCTAACCTAGTGTTTATAATACTTTATCTACACTATTTTTATTCTCCTAAGTTTATGTACACTACTTTCATTCTCTTAAGAGCAAGAAAAAAAAGTTATTTAATTTCGAAAGTAAGATATTGCTTTTATAATATGCATTTCTCATTGCAACCTGCATTGCTCTTTGTTAGATATTTATTGAAATGTTTTTATAATGCATGTTTGCAGTGCTCTAACCATATATCCAAAAGTCAAAAGTGATTTACTTTAAACATTATGTCTGGGTTTTGTTACTAACACCCTCAATAAGAATTTTCCAATTTATGAAATTCTAAATGTGACAGGCTCAATTGTAGTGGCTTCTTGAAGTTAGATTTTTAATGTATTTTTGATAAGAATTATTAAGATGTAGGGTTTTAGTATATATTTTTTTTTAAATATAAAGATCATTGAGAAATTGACAATATATACAT